TAAGGAATATTGGAGCTTCAGGGACCTGTCATCCTCGAGCAACCGGGCAAGCGATCCGACTGCGAGGCCGTCAGCATGTTTGATTTGCCGGAGATGGCTCGCCTGGCTAATCTGGATGGCGTCTTCTTCACGGACCTGGCTCAGTGTGCCTATGGTGCTCCGACCGCTAAGCCCACCACCCTGCTGCACTACAAGGTTTCCCTGGGTGATGCTCAGAGTACTTGCAGACACGCTTCCAGGTGGTGGAGGTTGCCTTCTACGGGAGCATGGCGTTGGGGCCCACATGCACCTCTCAAGGGCAAGGAATGGTGGATACCCGCCGATCGATGGCGGGAGCACATGTTGCTTTCACCAGAAGCTCGGCGAAATAAATTCAGAGCTAAGCCCTTCCTCACCCGTCAGGCTGCCGCGTACCCTGCCGAGATGAACCGCTATTTGGCCTTGAAGCTCTTGGACGGCGCCGGTGGCGACTTCAGTGGCCGAAGTGAGGCATCGTCTGAAAAGATGAAGCTGGTGGGGCCCTGGCGCAACGTGCTTGTGCGAGAGAGGTCGAGGTCTACGAGAACGGACCAGATCAAGGTCATTGGCGAGATCGCTTGGAAAGACCCGCTCAAAGGCATGCATGCTCATATGGCGCCGGAAGACGATTCGCTCGGAGGACTACGGCAACCTCGGCGCGCGGTGGAAAAGGTACCTGGGCTGCGCTCCGTTGGAAGGCGGGTTTTTCAGGTCGTCAAGTCCTTCATTGAGTCCGACTCTTCTGTGTTGGAGGCCTGCATTGGCGCCATCGGCAGCGACAAGCCGGACGCAGGTCCGTCGGCCCAGTTGGTCGAAATACTGCGAGCACGAGTGGAAGCCGAGCTTGGAGTCGAAGCGGATTTAGGGGACAATGTTCAACGTGTGCATCCTTTGAGGCACCGCCTTCTCCGTCGTTGGGCGGCTCTCGCTGAAGATCCCGATGCTGAGATTGTCGGGGACTGGCTGGCCCAAGGTGCGCCAGCCGGCATCAACATGGACATCCGGGACCCCGGCGTGTTCCCTAAGAGCGAGGGCGAGGACTTCGAGGCGGACGGGGTTGACTTCGTGTGGCGAGACCCTTCGCTTCACGAAAATTATACTTCAGTCGACAACGACGAAGCAGCTGAACCAGAAGTTCGGAGAATCGTGGAGACGGGGTTCGTGGAAGTTTTCAAGTCTCTCGAGGCTTGCAAGCGTTACCTCGGAGCGGAGCCCGTGACATCGAAGCTCGCAATGGTGTCCAAACAGAGGGCGGACGGCACTTGGAAGCGGCGCCTCATACTTGATTGCCGTGAATCTCAGGTGAGTGACAGGGCTTCTCGCGGGGGCAGGCTGGTCTTACCGAGACCAGTGGACATCGTCAGTGACTGTCTGCACATGTGGAAGCACGCTGGCACCGACCTCTCGATGGAAGCCCTGGTTCTTGATTTCACCGACTGGTTTTACATGACTCCGCTGCACGGAGACGAGCAGAGGTACTTCGTGACTGCCTATAAGGGGAAGTACATTGTCTTTCTCAGCCAGACCCAGGGCAGCCGTAATGCCCCAGTCGTATGTGGCCGTGTGGCCGCCTTGATAGGACGACTCACTCAGGGGATGCTGCCAGAAAAGAACGCCAGGTGCCACATCTACGTCGATGACCCGATTTGCCTTTTCCTGGGACCTCGACACCAGCGGGACTTGCACATAGCTGTGGTCATCTGCACTTGGCTCGTTTTGGGTCTGAGGCTGGCTTTCAAGAAAGCAGCGCGGGGCTCCGAGGTCACCTGGGTCGGCTACACCTTCGCCATTGATTGTGGCAAGGACCCTAAGGTGACTGTCACAGGGAAGGCAGAGCTCATGCAAGAGATCGAGGAGCTCAACGGCAAGCACTTGTCCTCCAACGTGGTGAAGGTTCGAGAGCTGCGCACCTTCACTGGCAAGGCTAACTATGTGGCTGGCATGATTGATGCTTGGCGCCCGTTCCTGGCCGACCTCTACGGTGTCATTTCATCGGCAGGCCGGGGAACAGCTGCTCCATTGAACTGCGTGTGGACTCGTCAGTTTCGACATGCTTCCCTCTGGTTCAGGGCCTTCTTCTCCTCTGAGAAGCACGCATTGCGCCGAGAGTTCAGGTTGTCCACCTTCCTTGGAAAGGGTCTGAGGGTCAGAATCATCACTGACGCCAGCCCCTGGGGGCTGGGGGCAATTCTCCTGATCAATTGCACCATCATTGCCTTCTTTTCGTCTGCTTTGGACAAGGCTGATGAAGAAATGGCTGGCGTTCGGATTGGTGGCGCTGCCGGCCAGCAGATTTGGGAAGCCTTGGCACTGCTACAGGCTGTGAAGACCTGGTCGCGACATTGGAAGAAGGAGGGTCTGGACTTGATGGTCAGCTCAGACTCCGTGACGGCCTTGTCCTTGATGATCAGTCTCCGACACAAGCCTGGTTCCAGGGCTTTGGGCATCATCGTCAAGGAGCTGGCGCTCGAGTTCAGTAGATCCTCCTTCAGGCCGAGGTGGCACGAACACATCCCAGGCGTCGCCAATGATCTGGCAGATAATCTCAGTCGCCGATTTCAGCCAGGATTTGAGTTTCATGCATCCTCCTTGTTGAAAAATGCCAAGGAGGTGGTTGTTCCTTCCAGAGGTCCATCATTTTACACCTGCCTGTCCGCTCCGCATAGTGGGCCGTAGGGGGACAGGATCAATGCCGAAGCCAATGTATCCCTTGCTACGGTGAGGAAACACGCAGCCCTGGTTGCGCTTTTCATCATCTCATGCTGACTGCTGGCTCTGAGCTTCGGACATGTTGGCATGTTTTCTCTGAGGGCCCATCTGACATGTCGGCATGTGCATTGCTGTTGAGTTCGGACACGTTGGCTGTTTGTCGCAGGGTCCGGTTTGACATGTCGGCATGTGCATTCTCTGAGGGTTGCCTGCTGATTGTTGCACCGAGGGTAACCGTCTTGCCTTGCACAACCCATGTCAGGTGTTTATACAGCTGGCTCAAGCAACATGCCGAAGAGAAGGCCTAAGTTGGCTGCACTACCTAGGATCAACTTGTCTGATGTGCGCTCCAGAGTGACGGCTGCCGCCTCCGAGGAGGCGATTGCAGCTGCCGAAAGTGCTGCCAGCGGACCCTTGATTGACCTCACCACTGGAACGAGCTCTTCCTCTACGCAGTGGGCCAGCCGAGCTGATGCCCCACACGTGGCCTTTGGATCAGCTCAAGAAGACGCCCATTGGTGTTGAACGTAATGAGTAGACTGACGTCGTGCACAGGGCGACTCGAGACCTCCCGGACACTTGGCGAGAGTTAGTGGATGAGAAGTTGGAGGAGTTTCGCAAGGAGCTGCTCCACAAGCCCAGTGATTTTGTCAGAAATGCTGAGACCGGCTTCTGGCATGTGGTCAGGGACGGAGGCCTTAATTTAGTTCCTGCCGCTTGGTCTGCTTGCTGTGGATGACCTTTTGGGCTAGGAAATTTTACACGATCTAATTCGATTCCTGAAAATGGTAGGAAGTGTTTGAAGTGTTTCGGCATTGATGCGGGAGATGACTCCTCTTCATCCGCTCCGGAGAACTAGCCGTAAGACAGGGGCGAGATATGGGGCACACATATGTACCGTCTCACGGGACGAGAAAGCATATGGAGGTCCCGGGGAGGATGGCAATTGCATTCCTGGTGGCATGGACCACCGCAATTACTGCCGCTCTCCTGTTTGAGTAAAACAGCTTTCTGGGTTGGGAGGTGGGACCGAAAGACTTCAGATCCTTCGATTCCTCTCACTACAAGAGCTTCAGCGAGGAGCTCACGTGTGTTGAGAACGTCCAGCAGGGGTTCGACCACTTTGCCATTCAGTCGGAGCTGGGCCAGGAGCTCACCCCGGTGGAGCTTCAGAACTTCCGCGCGCGCGTTGTGGAAGAGATGGAGTACTTGTGCAAGCACCACAACATCACCAGACACGCAGAGTACATTGCAGACTTTATGCAGGCGCTGGAAGACGAGCGTCCTGTGTTGACAAGCAAGATGCAGGAGATTGTGAAGGAGCAGTACCGCGATGTGACTTTCGAGTTTGCGGACTGGCTGGCCAATTTCTCTTCCATCGACATCCAGCACCTTACCGGTCTGAAGCCGCAGACCGGGCCTCACGACAACAGGACCCAGCTGCTGCAAATGAGCCAGGGCACCGCGGAGCGCTTGCAGAAAAGCAAGCTCCTATCCAGCTTCGATGCCCGCAGCCATTGGCCCCGCTGCAGTGAGATCATCGGCCGGATCCACAACAAAGGCACAGCTCCTATGGTCTTGTGATGTCTTATGCAGTGCACTGCTAGACTGCTAGAAGCTCCATTCTGCCTACATGGGAACCCCAAAGTCCGTCCATATCGCAGAGTGGAGATGTCATGATTGCCTGCATTCTTTCGGGCAAAGTGTGTGTTCGGAGATTTTTTGCATTGTTGCGTCGAAGTGAGCGACTCCGCTAGTCTTGGACAGGTCAATGTGGCAGGCGAGGCTGTGAGCATCTGCTTGTGGCACTGCACACTTTGCATGTCGGCAAACAGTCACATGTGGCAGTTGCTGGGCCTTCGGAGTCCTCGGGGCGTTTGACAGCCTTGGCTGTGCGAGAAAATGTCAGTTGCACGACTTGAATATACCGACTATATTACAACATGTCAATAGTACTGTATTCGGCATTGTGGACATGGCTGGTTGTGATGACCTGGTGCTAGGCATCTTCAGTGGCCCCAGCGCTCAGCTCTCTCGTGGCTTCGTCACATCCTGCACCTACGAGTCGAGGAGGGATGGCTGCTCCGGCAGCTGGCCCGAAGACGTTTTCAGGCTTGGCACTCAGGGCCTCGCATGTATGCGCATGATGTGTCTGACAGTCACAGTCGTTCAATTTTTGAGGAGACCCGGGGGTCCCCGACGGGAGGGGACGCAGGCTGCTCGCCGTACTTTGGGCACGGAGCCGGCAAGGATCACTTCCACCAGTCAACTGCACCACCTCCCTGCCCCACGGAGTGCGCCAACAAAGCCTTCCCCAGGCCCATGCTTAAGGACACCTTCTATCCACAAGGCGCTCACCTTCGCGTCAATCTCTTCCAAGATTATGGCAATGGCCATGGCCCAGCCGCATCCGCCGCACACCAGCTGGTGCGTGAGGCGATTATGACAGGTGGGCCGGTGGCGGCGCTCATGCATGTCGATGACCCGTTCTTCGCGTACAAAAGTGGGGTCTACACTCACGCCTGCGAACACCATGCCAATCATGTGGTGGTCGCCATTGGCTGGGGACCTGACAGCTGGCTCTGCTTGAGCTTGGCAGTGAAGTTACATAAAGTTCTCAGTGTTTGTTAGTTTTGTTTGTGAATGCCCTGCCAATGCTCTGCATTGCAAGAGACTATGTCGTAGCTCAGGAACTCTTGGGGCGATGATTGGGGTGACGGCGGCAGCTTCCGGGTAGGCCTCTGCGTGCTGACCGAAGTTTACATCCCAACCATGAGCCTGGAGGGCAGCAACGCGGAAAATTATGCATTTCCCTTGGATGGTAGCACCGAGACTCCAGCCCCCGGGCTGAATCCTGCAGCACGGTACCCCTCTCTGGACGTGGGCATTGCATCCTTGGGGTTCTGGACTGTGGACAAGCACTGTGATTGCAAGAACAGCTGTCAGCCTAGATGGGGTGGGACCTCTGCCTGCAGCGCTGATACAGGGTGCCAGGGCGACTTTTGGGACCATCCTTGTGAGCAAAAACCATCGACTGGACTGCTACTGACCAAAGCCTCCTGTGACTTTGAGCTTGCTTGTACTTGGACAAACGAGGGTACCACCGATTGGGCAATGCAATCCAGTGCTGCCACAAACTACGTCTACCTTCAAGGTATATTGAAGATGGCCATCTACCAGAGCCCCACGCTGGACGATGCCCAGGGCTACACCTTGACCTTTGCCTATTATATGAAGGGGATTTCCGTGGGCTCTCTGGACGTCGAGGTTGGGGATGTGCATGGACATTTCCACTCCATTTGGCGAAAAAGCGGCCGTCAGGGTGACGATTGGCAGACGGCATCCCTGAGCATCAGCGCATCTGTGGCCATTCGGTTCGTTGGACAGACACAGAGCAGCGACATGATAGGTGTCGATGATGTCCTGCTGATATCCCAAGGTGCCGCCGCCGCCACCACCACCACCACGACCACCACCACAACGACGTTGTCCTTGTCCTGTGACTTCGAGGTTTTGTGTCCCTGGACCAATGAAGGAGAGATTGCTTGGAAAGAGAACAGATACGACGCGCCAACTGGTAGTACAGGCCCCTCTGGTGCCGCCTCAGGGATTGGCTACATCTTTGTGGAGGCTAGCCAGGCCAACGCCGTCCCGAAGACAGCCATCTTCAAGAGCCCCGCGCTGGACAATGAACAAAACTACACCTTAGCCTTTGCTTATCACATGAAGGGAGACCAAATGGGCTTTCTGGATGTTGAGGTTGTGAATGTTTACGGAAGACATTCTGTTTGGCACATGGCTTGCCAATCAGGGTGACGATTGGCAGATGGCATCCTTGAACATCAGTGCGGCCGTCGCCCTGCGCTTCGTGGCAGTCACAGGCCTCGGCACCTCAATCAACATTGCCGTCGATGATATCCAGGTGACCAAAAGGAGCCCCGCACCCCTGTCTTCACTGTCGTGTAACTTTCAGGAGATTTGCCACTGGACAAATGAAGGGGACATTGCTTGGATGGAGAACTCGGGAGGTACTCCTAGCCGTGGAACAGGCCCAGACTTTGACTATGATTCTGCTTGGTACTCGCAAGGCAGCAGATTCAGGTACATCTTTGTTGAGGCCAGCTCCCCTAACAACCCTAACAAGATAGCCATCTTCAAGAGCCCCGTGCTTGATGCCACCCAGCTCTACATCTTGACCTTTGCGTATCACATGAAGGGCAGCTCTATGGGATCTCTGGAGGTTGAGGTTGGAGATGCGCATGGAGCCTTCCATTTCATTTGGCGCAAAGCCGGCAGCCAAGGTGAACATTGGAACACGGCAAGATTGGCCATCACTTCGGCCATCGCTGTTCGCTTCATTGCGGTCACAGGGCCCGGCTGGTCGAGCGATATTGCTGTGGATACCATCGAGTTTACCTTGTGCCTTGCATCGGCACCTGAGCTCTCTTGTGATTTCGAAGATCAGGGTACGAGGTGGCGATCTTCGCCGTTCACAAGTTGCCAATGGGATAACTACCCTGCTGCGTGGTATTCTGATAAGAGGAGCTTCCAAAGAATGACACTGGGCCGTCTGCAGGTTCATTCTTCATCACACCTGCCGGATCCTGGAGTAGTAGAGTGAAGACATACAATCTGACGAGTCCTTACCTCGACTTTACACGGAACTTTGCTTTGACATTTGCATATCGCTTCAATCTACAGGAGAGAGAGTTTTTGAGCGTCGAGGTTGAAAATGTCAGTGGTTTCCACTCCATTTGGCGTGTCGATGGCAGCCAGAGTGTCGATTGGAAGACGACATCCTTGAGCGTCGCCGCAGCTTACAGGGTTCGAATAGTTGCTGGTTCAGACCAACCGAGACCCGACATTGCCGTCGACGACATTCAAATGTCGACAGCTTTGACCACCTCCACCACCATCGCCGCCACCAGCACCACCACCAGCACCATCACGATTGCCCCACATGTCCACGCATCGTGCTCCTTTGAGGATCAATGTCCCTGGACAAACGAGGGGGAGATCTCTTGGACGGTGCACTCAGGCCAAACTCCAAGTAGTGGCACTGGGCCCTCTGCTGCTGCCACAGGTGCAAATTACGTCTACGTTGAGGCCAGCTCCCCTAACAACCCTAACAAGATAGCCATCTTCAAGAGCCCGGTGCTTGATGCCACCCAGAGCTAC